ATCTTGTTTATGATTTAAGTATTTGCTGCAGTTTATAATACATTTATTTTATGATGTTCGCGTATTTTCCCATCCACAGCAGGATTTTAATCCATTCCAAACTATACATGACCATTGATAAGGCATATTTTTTATTTTTCCTCGTTTTTTGTTCGTGCTTGTGTGTTTTTGTATGTACATGTGCTTGAAACGAAAATAGGGTGAAGGGAAAAGTTACCCAAGTGCAGTGGATTGCCTTGTGAATCGGTATTTGTTGGGCAGTTTTTAACGGCCAGATCAGTTTGTAGTAAATGGCATAAGAAGTATTTTAAGAAATTACCCTTAGTACGGTAAAGCTTATAGCTTGTATCATCCCATGATAAGTAAAGGAGAGAGAGAAGGGGATGATTGAGGGATGTTTAAGCTTAACTATCGTGCAGTGCTTGGACTGTATATTTGTTCCACAATTGTTTAGCCCTTTGTAGCAAGTATCACTTATTGCACACAGTCAGAAAGGGCTAAAAAACTGCTTCGTTTTGCTGTTTTGTCAAGGAACGCAAGCGATTTTGCCTTGATTGATGCGCTCTGCATTTTCAAAAGGCTCTTGATATCCCTCTTTTAAAAATAATATGATTGGCAGGGATATCTCCGCCTAGGTAGATTATGTAGCGGCTTCATACAGTTACTTTTGAGTTTTACTTTTGGATGATCGGCGTGCACGTTTTTTTATGTATGTGTTTGTTTGCATATGTGTTTGTATGTGTGTGTGTGTGTGTGTGTATGTGTGTGTATGTGTGTGCGTATGTGTGTTTGTTGGATGTGTAGAGTAATACGAATCAAACTTAGCTGAAGAATTGATGATAATTTGCAGCGGCGGTGGTGGCGCGATGGGTGAGGCAGTTGAATTGGCCGAGCAGCTGCTGAACCCGCGCTGCATGCTCAATGTCGACGGATTGCTGGTTCGTTCTTTTAGAGCCTACTTCCATTCAAGGCAAAAGCGGCTATCCCAGTCATGTTTTTGTCAACGTATATTTAAAAAATTAATCTTCTTGCAGGCATTTTGTTGCAACTTTTAAAGTGCTCAATTTGCAGGATGCCTTAATAGCTTTCGTACAGGACTGCAATTATCCGCTGCTGAGGCGCACCAAAAACATCGACAACTTCGTCTCCCGCTGTAACTATTTCTGTTCATCCTCAATTCACCGTTAATTGAATGTGCTTTTCTTATCCGTACAGATAGTGATTGCAGAATCGGGTTGTAGTTTTCACTGGTGTACCTCTTTGTCTTATTACTGAACACCCAAATTGTTCAGCTGGA